GACATGGACGTGGACGTGGACGTGGACGTGGACGTGGACGTGGACATGGACGTGGACATGGACGTGGACGTGGACGTGGACGTGGACATGGACGTGGACGTGGACATGGACGTAGACGTGGACGTGGACATGGCGTGGACGTGGACATGGACGTGGACGTGGACGTGGACATGGACGTGGACGTGGACGTGGACGTGGACATGGACGTGGACGTGGACGTGGACGTGGACATGGAGGTGGACATGGACGTGGACTTGGACGTGGACGTGGACATGGACGTGGACGTGGACATGGACGTAGACGTGGACGTGGACGTAGACATAGACGTGGACGTGGACGTGGACGTGGACATGGACGTGGACGTGGACGTGGACATGGACGTGGACGTGGACATGGACGTGGACGTGGACATGGACGTGGACGTGGACATGGGCGTGGACGTGGACATAGACGTGGACATGGACGTGGACATGGACGTGGACATGGACGTGGACGTGGACGTGGACGTGGACATGGACGTGGATGTGGACGTGGACGTGGACATGGACGTGGACGTGGACGTGGACGTGGACGTGGACGTGGAAATGTACGTGGACGTGGACGTGGACATGGACGTGGACGTGGACGTGGACGTGGACATGGACGTGGACGTGGACATGGACGTGGACGTGGACGTGGAAATGGACGTGGACGTGGACGTAGAAATGGACGTAGACGTGGACGTGGACGTGGACATGGACGTGGACGTGGACGTGGACGTGGATAAGACGTGGACGTGGACGTGGACGTGGACATGGACGTGGAATGGACATGGACGTGGACGTGGATGTGGACGTGGACGTGGACGTGGACGTGGACGTGGACATGGACGTGGACGTGGACGTGGACGTGGACGTAGAAATGGACGTGGACGTGGACATGGACGTGGACGTAGACGTGGACGTAGACGTAGACGTGGACGTGGACGTGGACGTGGACGTGGACATGGACGTGGACGTGGACGTGGACGTGGACGTGGACGTGGACGTGGACGTGGACGTGGACGTGGACATGGACGTGAACGTGGACGTGGACATGGACGTGGACATGGACATGGACGTGGACATGGACGTGGACATGGACGTCGACGTGGACATGGACGTGGACGTGGACGTGGACATGGCATGGACGTGGACGGGGACGTGGACGTGGACGTGGACATGGACGTGGACGTGGACGTGGACGTAGAAATGGACGTGGACGTGGACGTGGACGTGGACGTGGACATGGACGTGGACGGGACGTGGACATGGACGTGGACGTGGACGTGGACGTGGACGTGGACATGGACGTGGACATGGACGTGGACGTGGACGTGGACGTGGACGTGGACGTAGAAATGAACGTGGACGTGGACGTGGACGTGCACATGGAAATGGACGTAGACATGGACGTGGACGTGGACGTGAACGTGGACGTGGACGTGGACGTGGACATGGACGTGAACGTGGACATGAACGTGGACGTGGTCGTGGACGTGGACGTGGACGTGGACGTGGACGTGGTCATGGATGTGGACGTGGACATGGACGTGGTCGTGGTCGTGGACATGGACGTGGACGTGGAGGACGTGGACGTGGAGGACGTGGACGTGGACGTGGAGACGTGGACGTGGACGTGGAGGACGTGGACGTGGACGTGGACGTAGAAGTGGACGTGGAGGTGGACGTGGACGTGGACGTGGACATGGACGTGAACGTGGACATGGACGTGGACGTGGACGTGGACATGGCGTGGACGTGGACGTGGACGTGGACGTGGACATGGACGTGGACGTGGACGTGGACGTGGACGTGGGGACGTGGACGTGGACATGGACGTGGACATGGACGTGGACATGGACGTGGACGTGGACATGGACGTGGACGTGGACATGGACGTGGACGTGGACGTGGACATGGACGTGGACGTGGACATGGACGTGGACGTGGACGTGGACATGGCGTGGACGTGGACGTGGACGTGGACGTGGACATGGACGTGGACGTGGACGTGGACGTGGACGTGGACGTGGACGTGGACGTGGACATGGAGTGGACATGGACGTGGACTTGGACGTGGACGTGGACATGGACGTGGACGTGGACATGGACGTGGACGTGGACGTGGACGTAGACATGACGTGGACGTGGACGTGGACGTGGACATGGACGTGGACGTGGACGTGGACATGGACGTGGACATGGACGTGGACGTGGACATGGACGGGACGTGGACATGGACGTGGACGTGGACATAGACGTGGACATGGACGTGGACATGGACGTGGACATGGACGTGGACGTGGACGTGGACGTGGACATGGACGTGGACGTGGACGTGGACGTGGACATGGACGTGGACGTGGACGTGGACGTGGACGTGGAAATGGACGTGGACGTGGACGTGGACATGGACGTGGACGTGGACGTGGACGTGGACATGGACGTGGACGTGGACGTGGACGTGGACGTGGAAATGGACGTGGACGTGGACGTAGAAATGGACGTAGACATGGACGTGGACGTGGACATGGACGTGGACGTGGACGTGGACGTGGATATAGACGTGGACGTGGACGTGGACGTGGACATGGACGTGGAGATGGACATGGACGTGGACGTGGATGTGGACGTGGACGTGGACGTGGACGTGGACGTGGACGTGGACATGGACGTGGACGTGGACGTGGACGTGGACGTAGAAATGGACGTGGACGTGGACATGGACGTGGACGTAGACGTGGACGTGGACGTGGACGTGGACGTGGACGTGGACGTGGACATGAACGTGGACGTGGACGTGGACGTGGACGTGGACGTGGTCGTGGACGTGGACGTGGACGTGGACGTGGACATGGACGTGAACGTGGACGTGGACATGGACGTGGACATGGACATGGACGTGGACATGGACGTGGACATGGACGTGGACGTGGACATGGACGTGGACGTGGACGTGGACAGGCATGGACGTGGACGGGGACGTGGACGGGACGGGGGACGTGGACGTGGACGTGGACGTGGCGTGGACGTGGACGGGACGTGGACATGGACGTGGACATGCGTGGACATGGCGTGGACTTGGAACGTGGACGTGGACATGGAAGTGGAACGTGGACATGGACGTAGACGTGGACGTGGACGTGGACATAGACGTGGACGTGGACGTGGACGTGGACATGGACGTGGACGTGGACGTGGACATGGACGTGGACGTGGACATGGACGTGGACGTGGACATGGACGTGGACGTGGACATGGACGTGGACGTGGGACATGGACGTGACATGGACGTGGACATGGACGTGACATGGACGTGGACGTGGACGTGGACGTGGACATGGACGTGGACGTGGACGTGGACGTGGACGTAGAAATGGACGTGGACGTGGACGTGGACGTGGACGTGGACATGGACGTGGACGTGACGTGGACATGGACGTGGACGTGGACGTGGACGTGGACGTGACATGGACGTGGGCATGGATGTGGACGTGGACGTGTGGACGTGGACGTGGACGTAGAAATGAACGTGGACGTGGACGTGGACGTGCACATGGAATGGACGTAGACATGGACGTGGACCGTGGACGTGAACGTGGACGTGGACGTGGACGTGGACATGGACGTGAACGTGGACATGAAAGTGGACGTGGTCGTGGTCGTGGACGTGGACGTGGACGTGGGCGTGGTCATGGACGTGGACGTGGACATGGACGTGGTCGTGGTCGTGGACATGGACGTGGACGTGGAGGACGTGGACGTGGAGGACGTGGACGTAGACGTGGAGGACGTGGACGAGGACGTGGAGGACGTGGACGGGGACGTGGACGTGGAAGTGGACGTGGAGGTGGACGTGGACCTGGACGTGGACCTGGACGTGGACCTGGACGTGGACCTGGACGAGGACGTAGACATGGACGTGGACTTGGACGTGGACCTGGACGTGGACGTGGACGTGGACGTGGACGTGGACGTGGACATGGACGTGGACGTGGACATGGACATGGATGTGGACATGGAGATGGACGTGGACGTAGACGTGGACGTGGACGTGGACGTAGAATTGGACGTGGACGTGGAAGTGGACGTGGACGTGGACGTGGACGTGGACGTGGATGTAGACGTGGACGTGGACGTAGACATGGATGTGGACATGGATGTGGACGTGGACGTGGACGTGGACGTGGACGTGGACGTAGAAATGGACGTGGACGTACAAATGGACGTGCACGTGCACGTGGACCTGGACGTGCACGTGGACGTAGTTGTGGACGTGGACGTGGACGTGGACGTGAACGTGGACGTGGTCGTGGACGTGGTCATGGTCGTGGACGTGGACGTGGACGTGGACGTGGTCATGGACGTGGACGTGGACATGGACGTGGTCGTGGTCGTGGACATGGACGTGGACGTGGTCGTGGACGTGGACGTGGACGACGTGGACGTCGAGGACGTGGACGAGGACGTGGAGGACGTGGACGAGGACGTGGAGGACGTGGACATCGACGTGGACGTGGTCGTGGACGTGGACGTGGACGTGGACCTGGACGTGGACCTGGACGTGGACCTGGACGTGGACGTGGACGCGGACGTGGACGTGGAAGTGGACGTGGACGTGGACGTGGACCTGGACGTGGACCTGGACGTGGACATGGACGTGGACATGGACGTGGACGTAGACGTGGACGTGGACGTGGACGTGGACGTAGACATGGACGTGGACGTGGACGTGGACGTACACATGGACATGGACGTGGACGTGGACGTGGACGTGGACATGGACGTGGACATGGACATGGACGTGGACGTGGACGTGGACGTGGACGTAGAAATTGACGTGGACGTGGATGTGGACGTGGACGTGAACCTGGACCTGGACGTGGACATGGACGTGGACGTGGACATGGACGTGGACGTGGACGTGGACGTGGACGTAGACATGGACGTGGACATGGACGTTGACGTGGACGTGGACGTGGACATGGACGTGGACGACAGAGTGGACGTGGACGGGACGTGGACCTGGACGTGGACGTGGACGTGGACATGGACGTAGGACGTGGACATGGACGTGGACGTGGACATGGACGTGGACGTGGACATGACGTGGACGTGGACATGGACGTCGATGTGGACGTGGACGTGGACGTGGACGTGGACGTAGAAATGGTTGTGGACGTGGACGGGGACGTGGACCTGGACATGGACGTGGTCTTGGACGTGGACGTGGACGTGGACGTTTTAATGGACGTGGACGTGGACGTGGACGTGGAGGTGGACGTGGACATGGACGTGGGACGTGGACGTGGACGTGGACGTCGAAGTGGACGTGGACGTGGACCTGGACCTGGACGTGGACCTGGACGTGGACGTGGACGTGGACGTGGACGTGGACATGGACGTGGACATGGACGTGGACGTGGAAGTGGACGTGGACGTGGACGTGGAACTGGACGTGGACGTGGACGTGGCCGTGGACGTGGACATGGACGTGGACGTGGACGTAGAACTGGACGTGGACAGTGGACGTGGACGTGGACATGGACGTGGACGTGGACGTGGACGTGGATGTGGACAATGGACGTGACCGTGGACATGGACGTGGACGGTGGACAGTGGACGTGGACGTGGACGTGGAAATGGACGTGGACGTTGACGTCGAAATGGACGTGGACGTGGACGTGGACGTGGACGTGGACGTGGACGTGGACGTGAACGTAGAAATGGACGTGGACATAGAAATGGACGTGGACGTAGAAATGGACGTGGATGTGGACGTGGTTGTGGACGTGGACGTGGACGTGGAGGTGGAAGTGGACGTGGACGTGGACGTGGAAGTGGACGTGGACGTGGACGTGGAGGTGGACGTGGACGTGGACGAGGAGGACATGGACGTGGACGTGGACGTGGACGTGGACGTGGACGAGGACGAGGACGTGGACGTGGACGTGGACGTGGACGTGGACGTGGACGTGGACGTGGACGTGGACGAGGACGGGACGTGGACGTGGACGTGGACGAGGACGTGGACGTGGACGTGGACGTGGACGTGGACGTGGACGTGGACGTCGACATGGACGTGGACGTGGACGTGGACCTGGACGTTGACGTGGACGTGGACGTGGAGGACATGGACGTGGACGTGGACGTGGACGTGGACGTTGACGTGGATGTGGACGAGGACGTGGACGTGGACGTGGACGTGGACGTAGAAATGGAGGTGGACGTGGACGTGGACGTGGACGTGGACCTGGACGTGGACGAGGACGTGGACGTGGACGTGGAGGATGTGGACGTGGACGTGGACGTGGACGTGGACGTGGACATGGACGTGGACGTGGAAGTGGACGTGGACGTGGACGTAGAAATGGAGGTGGACGTGGACGTGGACGTGGACGTGGACATGGACGTGGACGTGGACGTGGACGTCGACGTCGACGTGGACGTGGACATGGACGTGGACGTGGACATGGACGTGGACGTAGACGTGGACGTGGACATGGACGTGGATGTGGAATGGACGTGGACGTGGACGTGGACGTCGAAATGGACGTGGACGTGGACGTGGACGTAGAATTGGACGTGGACGTAGAAATGGACGTGGACGTAGAAATGGACGTGGACGTGGACGTGGTTGTGGACGTGGACGTGGATGTGGAGGTGGAAGTGGACGTGGACGTGGACGTGGAAGTGGACGTGGACGTGGACGTGGAGGTGGACGTGGACGTGGACGTGGAGGTGGACGTGGACATGGACGTGGACGTGGACCTGGACCTGGACCTGGACGTGGACATGGACGTGGACGTGGACATGGACGTGGACGTGGACATGGACGTGGACGTGGACGTGGAAGTGGACGTGGACGTGGACGTGGACGTAGAAATGGACGTGGACGTGGACGTGGACGTGGACGTGGACCTGGACGTGGACATGGACGTGGACGTGGACATGGACGTGGACGTGGACGTGGACGTAAACGTGAACGTGGACGTAAAAATGGACGTGGACGTGGACGTGGACGTGGACGTGGACGTGGACATGGACGTGGACGTGGACGTGGATGTGAACATGGACGTGGACGTGGAAGTGGACGTGGACGTGGACGTAGAAATGGACGTGGACGTGGACGTGGACGTGGACGTGGACATGGACGTGGACGTGGACGTGGACGTGGACGTGGACGTGGACGTGGACGTGGACGTGGACATGGACGTGGACGTGGACATGGACGTGGACGTGGACGTGGACGTGGACGTGGACGTGGACGTGGACGTGGAAATGGACGTGGACGTGGACGTGGACGTCGAAATGGACGTGGACGTGGACGTGGACGTGGACGTTGACGTAGAAATGGACGTGGACGTAGAAATGGACGTGGACGTAGAAATAGACGTGGACGTGGACGTGGTTGTGGACGTGGACGTGGACGTGGACGTGGAGGTGGAAGTGGACGTGGACGTGGACGTGGAAGTGGACGTGGACGTGGACGTGGAGGTGGACGTGGACGTGGACGTGAAGGTGGACGTGGACATGGACGTGGACGTGGACGTGGACCTGGACCTGGACGTGGACATGGACGTGAACGTAGACATGGACGTGGACGTGGACATGGACGTGGACGTGGACGTGGAAGTGGACGTGGACGTGGACGTGGACGTAGAAATGGACGTGGACGTGGACGTGGACGTGGACCTGGACGTGGACATGGACGTGGACGTGGACATGGACGTGGACGTGGACGTGGACGTAAACGTGAACGTGGACATAAAAATGGACGTGGACGTGGACGTGGACGTGGACGTGGACGTGGACCTGGACGTTGACGTGGACGTGGACGTGGACGTGGACGTGGACGTGGACGTGGAGGACATGGACGTGGACGTGGACGTGGACGTGGACGAGGACGAGGACGTGGACGTGGACGTGGACGAGGAGGACATGGACGTGGACGTGGACGTGGACGTGGACGTGGACGAGGACGAGGACGTGGACGTGGACGTGGACGTGGACGTGGACGTGGACGTGGACGAGGACGTGGACGTGGACGTGGACGTGGACATGGACGTGGACGTGGACGTGGACGTGGACGTGGACGTGGACGTGGACGTGGACGTGGACGTAGACGTGGACGTGGACGTGGATGTGGAGGTGGAAGTGGACGTGGACGTGGACGTGGAAGTGGACGTGGACGTGGACGTGGAGGTGGACGTGGACGTGGACGTGGAGGTGGACGTGGACATGGACGTGGACGTTGACCTGGACCTGGACCTGGACGTGGACATGGACGTGGACGTGGACATGGACGTGGACGTGGACATGGACGTGGACGTGGACGTGGAAGTGGACGTGGACGTGGACATGGACGTGGACGTGGACATGGACGTGGACGTGGACATGGACGTGGACGTGGACGTGGAAGTGGACGTGGACGTGGACGTGGACGTAGAAATGGACGTGGACGTGGACGTGGACGTGGACGAGGACCTGGACGTGGACATGGACGTGGACGTGGACATGGACGTGGACGTGGACGTGGACGTAAACGTGAACGTGGACGTAAAAATGGACGTGGACGTGGACGTGGACGTGGACGTGGACGTGGACATGGACGTGGACGTGGACGTGGACGTGAACATGGACGTGGACGTGGAAGTGGACGTGGACGTGGACGTAGAAATGGACGTGGACGTGGACGTGGACGTGGACGTGGACATGGACGTGGACGTGGACGTGGACGTGGACGTGGACGTGGACATGGACGTGGACGTGGACGTGGACATGGACGTGGACGTGGACATGGACGTGGACGTGGACGTGGACGTGGACGTGGACGTGGACGTGGAAATGGACGTGGACGTGGACGTGGACGTCGAAATGGACGTGGACGTGGACGTGGACGTGGACGTGGACGTAGAAATGGACGTGGACGTAGAAATGGACGTGGACGTAGAAATGGACGTGGACGTGGACGTGGTTGTGGACGTGGACGTGGACGTGAACGTGGACGTGGACGTGGAGGTGGAAGTGGACGTGGACGTGGACGTGGAAGTGGACGTGGACGTGGACGTGGAGGTGGACGTGGACGTGGACGTGGAGGTGGACGTGGACATGGACGTGGACGTGGACGTGGACCTGGACCTGGACGTGGACATGGACGTGAACGTAGACATGGACGTGGACGTGGACATGGACGTGGACGTGGACGTGGAAGTGGACGTGGACGTGGACGTGGACGTAGAAATGGACGTGGACGTGGACGTGGACGTGGACATGGACGTGGACATGGACGTGGACGTGGACGTGGATATGGACGTGGACGTGGACGTGGACGTGGACGTGGACGTGGAAATGGACGTGGACGTGGACGTGGACGTCGAATGGACGTGGACGTGGACGTGGACGTGGACGTGGACGTAGAAATGGACGTGGACGTAGAAATGGACGTGGACGTAGAAATGGACGTGGACGTGGACGTGGTTGTGGACGTGGACGTGGACGTGGACGTGGACGTGGACGTGGAGGTGGAAGTGGACGTGGACGTGGACGTGGAAGTGGACGTGGACGTGGACGTGGAGGTGGACGTGGACGTGGACGTGGAGGTGGACGTGGACATGGACGTGGACGTGGACGTGGACCTGGACCTGGACGTGGACATGGACGTGAACGTAGACATGGACGTGGACGTGGACATGGACGTGGACGTGGACGTGGAAGTGGACGTGGACGTGGACGTGGACGTAGAAATGGACGTGGACGTGGACGTGGACGTGGACGTGGACGTGGACCTGGACGTGGACATGGACGTGGACGTGGATATGGACGTGGACGTGGACGTGGACGTAAACGTGAACGTGGACATAAAAATGGACGTGGACGTGGACGTGGACGTGGACGTGGACGTGGACCTGGACGTTGACGTGGACGTGGACGTGGACGTGGACGTGGACGTGGAGGACATGGACGTGGACGTGGACGTGGACGAGGACGAGGACGTGGACGTGGACGTGGACGAGGAGGACATGGACGTGGACGTGGACGTGGACGTGGACGTGGACGTGGACGAGGACGAGGACGTGGAGGTGGACGTAGACGTGGACGTGGACGTGGACGAGGACGTGGACGTGGACGTGGACGTGGATGTGGACGTGGACGTGGACATGGACGTGGACGTGGACGTGGACGTGGACGTGGACGTGGACGTGGACGTAGACGTGGACGTGGACGTGGACGTGGACGTGGACGTGGACGTGGACGTGGACCTGGACGTTGACGTGGACGTGGACGTGGAGGACATGGACGTGGACGTGGACGTGGACGTGGACGTTGACGTGGACGTAGAAATGGACGTAGACGTGGACGTGGACGTGGACGTGGACGTGGAGGTGGACGTGGACCTGGACGTGGACGTGGACGTGGACGTGGAGGACATGGACGTGGACGTGGACGTGGACGTGGACGTGGACGTGGACGTGGACGAGGACGAGGACGTGGACGTGGACGTGGACGTGGACGTGGACGTGGACGTAGAAATGGACGTGGACGTGGACGTGTAGGACATGGACGTGGACGTGGACGTGGACGTGGACGAGGACGAGGACGTGGACGTGGACGTGTAGGACATGGACGTGGACGTGGACGTGGACGTGGACGTGGATGTGGACGTGGACATGGACGTGGACGTGGACGTGGACGTGGACGTGGACGTAGAAATGGACGTGGACGTGGACGTGGACGTGGACGTGGACATGGACCTGGACCTGGACGTTGACGTGGACGTGGACGTGGACGTGGACGTGGACGTGGAAATGGACGTGGACGTGGACGTGGACGTAGACGTGGACGTGGACGTGGTTGTGGACGTGGACGTGGAAATGGACGTGGACGTGGACGTGGACGTGGACGTGGACGTGGACGTGGAGGTGGACATGGACGTGGACGTGGAGGACGTGGAGGTGGACGTGGACGTGGACGTGGAGGACGTGGACGTGGACGTGGACGTTGACGTGGAGGACGTGGACGTGGACGTGGACGTGGACATGGACGTGGACGTGGACGTGGACGTGGACGTGGACGAGGACGAGGACGTGGACATGGACGTCGACGTCGACGTGGACGTGGACGTGAACGTGGACGTGGACGTGGTCGTGGACGTGGTCGTGGACGTGGACGTGGACGTGGACCTGGACCTGGACGTTGACGTGGACGAGGACGTGGACGTGGACGTGGAGGACATGGACGTGGACGTGGACGTGGACGTGGACGTAGAAGTGGACGTGGACGTGGACGTGGACGTGGACCTGGACCTGGACGTGGACCTGGACGTGGACGTGGACGAGGACGAGGACGTGGACGTGGATGTGGACGTGGACGTGAACGTGGACGTGGACGTGGTCGTGGACGTGGTCGTGGACGTGGACGTGGACCTAGACCTGGACGTTGACGTGGACGAGGACGTGGACGTGGACGTGGAGGACATGGACGTGGACGTGGACGTGGACGTGGACGTAGAAATGGACGTGGACGTGGACATAGACGTGGACGTGGACGTGGACGTGGACCTGGACGTGGACGTGGACCTGGACCTGGACGTAGAAATGGACGTGGACGTAGAAATGGACGTGGACGTAGAAATGGACGTGGACGTGGACATGGACGTGCACGTGGACGTGGACATGGACGTGGACGTGGAGGACATGGACGTGGACGTGGACGTGGACGTTGACGTGGACGTGGACGTGGACGTGGACATGGACGTGGACGTGGACGTGGACGTGGACGTGGACATTGACGTGGACGTGGACGTGGACGTGGACGTGGACGTGGACAGGGACGTGGACGTGGACGTGGACCTGGACGTGGACGTGGACGTGTACCTGGACGTGGACGTGCACGTGGAGGTGGACGTGGACGTGGACCTGGACGTGGACCTGGACGTGGACGTGAACCTGGACGTGGACCTGGACGTGGACGTGGACGTGGAGGACATGGACTGGACGTGGACGTGGACGTGGAGGACATGGACATGGACGTGGACGTGGACGAGGACGAGGATGTGGACGAGGACGTGGACGTGGACGTGGACGTGGACGTGGACGAGGACGTGGACGAGGACGTGGACGTGGACGTGGACGTGGACGTGGAAGTGGACGTGGACCTGGACGTGGACGTGGACGTGGACGTGGACGTGGACGTAGACGTGGACCTGGACCTGGACGTAGACGTGGACGTGGACGTGGACGTGGACGTGGATGTGGACGTGGACGTGGACATGGACGTGGACGTGGACGTGGACGTGGACATGGACGTTGACGTGGACGTGGACGTGGACGTGGACGAGGAGGACATGGACGTGGACGTGGACGTTGACGTGGACGTGGACATGGACGTGGACATGGACGTGGACGTGGACGTGGACGTGGACATGGACGTGGACCTGGACATGGACGTGGACCTGGACGTGGACGTGGACATGGACCTGGACCTGGACCTGGACGTGGACGTGGATGTGGACGTGGACGACATGGACGTGGACGTGGACGTTGACGTGGACGTGGACGTGGACGTGGACATGGACGTGGACGTAGACGTGGACGTGGACGTGGACGTGGACGTGGACGTGGACGTGGACATGGACGTGGACGTGGACGTGGACGTGGACGTGCACGAGGACGAGGACGTGGACGTGGACGTGGACGTGGACGTGGACGTGGACATGGACGTACGCGTGAACGTGGACGTGGACGTGGACATGGACGTGGACGTGGACGTGGACGTGGACGTGGACGTGGACGTGGACGTGGACATGGACGTGAACGTGGACGTGGACGTGGACGTGGACGTGGACATGGACGTGGACGTGGACGTGGACGTGAACGTGGACGTGGACGTGGACGTGGAGGAGGTGGACGTGGAGGACGTGGAGGATGTGGACGTGGAGGACGTGGACGTGGACGTGGAGGACGTGGACGTGGACGTGGACGTAGACGTGGTCGTGGACGTGGACGTTGACGTGGACGTGGACGTGGTCGTGGACGTGGAGGACTTGGACGTTGACATGGACGTGGACGTGGACGTGGACGTGGACATGGTTGTGGACGTGGACGTGGACGTGGACATGGACGTGGATGTGGAGGTGGACGTGGAAGTGGACGTGGACGTGGACATGGATGTGGACGTGGACGTGGATGTGGACGTGGACGTGGACGTGGAGCTTGCCTGGTCGAGGAGCGTGCTTGGTCCAGGAGCTTGCCTGGTCCAGGAGCTTGCTTGGTCCAGGAGCTTGCCTGGTCCAGGAGCTTGCCTTGTCTAGGAGCTTGCCTGGTCCAGGAGCTTGCCTCGTCCAAGAGCTTGCGTGGTCGAGGAGCTTACCTGGTCCAGGAGCTTGCCTCGTCGAAGAGCTTGCCTGGTCCAGGAGCTTTCCTGGTCCAGGAGCGTGCCTGGTCTAGGAGCTTGCTTGGACAAGGAGCTTGCCTGATCCAAAAGCTTGCCTTGTCCAAGAGCTTGCCTGGTCCAGGAGCTTGCTTGGTCCAAGAGCTTGCTCGGTCCAAGCTTGCCTAGTCCAGGAGCATGCCTAGTCTAAGAGCTTGCCTGGTCGAGAAGGTTGCCTCGTCAAGGAGCTTGCCTGGTCCAGGAGCTGGCCTTGTCCATGAGCTTGCCTGGTCCAGGAGCTTGCCTGGTCCAGGAGCGTGCCTGGTCCAGGAGCTTGCCTGGTCCAGGAGCGTGCCTGGTCCAGGTGCTTGCCTGGTCCACGAGCTAGCCTTGTCCTAGAGCTTGTCCGGTCCAGGAGCGTCCTTGGTCGAGGAGCTTGCCTGGTCCAGGAGCTTGCCTGGTCCAAGAGCTTGCCTGGTCCTGGAGCTTCACTGGTCCAAGACCTTGCCAGGTGCAAGAGCTTGTCAGGTCCAGGTGCATGCCGGGTCCACAAGCTTGCCTGGTCCAGGAGCTTGCCTCATCAAGGAGCTTGCCTGGTCTAGGAGCTGGCCTGGTCCTGGAGCGTGCCTGGTCTTGGAATGTGTCTTGTCTAGGAGCGTGCCTAGTCCATGAGCTTGCCTCGTCTAGGAGCGTGCCTGGTCAAGGAGCTTGCCTGGTCCAAGAGCTTGCCTGGTCCAAGAGCTTGCCTAGTCCACAAGCTTGCCTGGTCCAAGAGCTTGCCTCGTCAAGGAGCTTGCCTGGCCTCGTCTAGGAGCGTGCGTGGTCCTGGAATGTGTCTGGTCCAGGAGAGTGCCTAGTCCATAAGCTTGCCTCGTCTAGGAGCTTGCCTGGTCCAGGAGCTTGCCTGGTCCTGGAGCTTGCCTGATCCTGGAGCTTGCCTGGTCCATTGCAAGCTAACGGACCAAGAAAGCTCCAGGACAGGGCAGGCTCCTGGACCAGGCACGCTCCTGGAACAGGCAAGCTCCTGGACCAGGCAAAGCTCCTGGACCAGGCAAGCTCTTGGACTAGGCAAGCTCCTGGACTAGGCAAGCTCCTGGACCAGGCACGCTCCTGGACCCGGCAAGCTCCTAGACCGGGCAAGCTCTTGGACCAGGCAAGCTCCTGGTCCAGGCAAACTCGTGGACCAGGCACGCTCCTGGACCAGGCAAGATCTTGGACGAGGCAAGCTCCTGTACCAGGCAAGCTCCTAGACCAGGCAAGCTCATGGACCACGAACGCTCCTGGACCTGGCAAGCTCCTAGACCAGGCAAGATCTTGGACGAGGCAAGCTCCTGGACCAGGCAAGCTCCTGGATCAGGCAAGCTCCTCGACCAGGAAAGCTCCTGGACCAGGCAAGCTCCTAGACCAGGCAAGGTCCTGCACCAGGCAAGCTCCTAGACCAGGCAAGCTCGTGGACCAGCCATGCTCGTGGACCAGCCAACCTCCTAGACAGGGCATGCTCCTAAACCACAAAAGCTCTTGGACCAGGCAAGCTCTTGGACCAGGCAAGCTCCTTGACCAGCCAAGCTCCCGGACCATGCAAGCTCGTGGACCAGGCACGGTCCTGGACCAGGCAAGATCCTAGACCAGGCAAGCTCCTGGACCAGGCAAGCTCCTGGACCAGGCAAGCTCCTGGACCGGGCAAGCTCGTGGACCAGGCAAGCTCCTTGACCAGGCAAGCTCCTAGACCAGGCACGCTCCTGGACCAGGCAAGCTCCTAGATCACGCAAGCTCTTGGACCAGGCACGCTCTTGGACCAGGCAAGCTCTTGGACCAGGTAGGCTTCATGACCGGGCAAGCTGCTGGACAAGGCAAGCTCCTGGACCAGGCAAGATCCTGGTCCAGCCAAGCTCATGGACCACGCAAGCTCCTGGACCAGGAACGCTCCTTGACCAGGCACGCTCTTGGACCAGGCAAGCTCCTAGACCAGGCAAGGTCCTGGACCAGGCAAACTCCTGGACCAGGCAAGCTCATGGACTGGGCACGCTCCTGGACCAGGCAAGCTCCTGGACCAGGCAAGCTCCTAAACCACGCAATCTCTTAGACCGGGCAAGCTCGTGGAACACGCAAGCTCGTGGACCAGGCAGGCTCCTGGACCAGGCAAGCTGCTAGACCAGGCAAGCTCCTTGACCAGGCAAGCTCGTGGACCAGGCAAGCTCTTGGACCAGGCAGGCTTCTGGACCAGGCACACTCGTGGACCAGGCACACTCCTGGACCAGGCAAGCTCTTGGACCAGGCACGCTCTTGGACCAGGCAAGCTCTTGGACCACGCAAGCTTCTGGACCAGGCACGCTCGTGGACCAGGCACGCTCCTAGCCTAGGCACGCTTCTGGAACAGGCAACCTCATGGACCAAGCACGCTCCTTGACCAGGCAAGCTCCTGGACGAGGCAAGCTCCTAGACCATGCAAGCTCTTGGACCAGGCACGCTCCTGGACCAGGCAAGCTCTTGGACCAGGCACGCTTCTGGACCAAGCAAGCTCCTGGACCAGGCAAGCTCCTGGACGACGCAAGCTCTTGGACCGACAGGCATCTAGACCAAGCAAGCTCCTGGACCTGGCAAGCTCCTGGACCACGTAAGCTTCTGGACAAGGCAAGCTCCCGGACCAGGCAATATCTTGGACCAGGCAAACTCCCGGTCCAAGGAAGCTCCTGGACCAAGCAAGCTCGTGGACCGGGCACGCTCCTGGACCAGGCAAGTTCCTAGACGAGGCAAGCTCCTGGACCAGGCAAGCTCCTGGACCTTGCAAGCTCCTGGACTTGGCAAGCTCCTGTACCAGGCACGCTCCTGGACCAGGCAAGCTCCTAGACTAGGCAAGCTCCTCGACCACGCAAGCTCTTGGACCAGACAAGCTCCTGGACCGGGCAAGCTCCTGGACCAGTCAAGCTAACGGACCATGAAAGCTCCTGGACAAGGCAAGCTCGTGGAGCTTGGTCTAGGAGTTTGCCTGGTCCAGCAGCTTGCCTGGTCTAGGAGCTTGCCTGGTCTAGGAGCTTGCCTGGTCCAGGAGCGTTCCTAGTCCACGAGTTTGCCTGGTCCAGAAGCTTGCGTGGTCCAGGAGCTTGCTTGTTCCACGAGCGTGCATGGTCCAGGAGCTTGCCTTGTCCAGGAGCTTTCTTGGTCCGCTAGCTTGCCTGGTCCAGGAGCTTGCCTGGTCTAGGAGCTTTCCTGGTCCAAGAGCTTGCTTGGTCCAAGAGCTTGCCTGGTCCAGCAGCTTGCCTGGTCCAGGAGCGTGCGTGATCCACGAGCTTGCCTGGTCCAAGAGCTTGCCTGGTCCAGGAGCGTGCCTGGTCCAAGAGCTTGCCTGGTCCAGGAGCTTTCATGGTCCAAGAGCTTGCCTGGTCCAAGAGCTTGCTTGGTCCAGAAGCCTGCCTGGTCCAAGAGCTTGCCTGGTCCAGGAGCGTGTCTGGGTTAAGAGCTTGCCTAGTCCAGGAGCTTGCGTGGTCGAGGAGCTTGCCTGGTCCAGGAGCTTGCCTGGTCCAGGAGCTTGCCTTGTCCAAGAGCTTGCCTGGTCCAAGAGCTTGTGTGGTCTAGGAGCTTGCCTGGTCCAGGAGCTTGCCTAGGTCTAGGAGCTTGCCTGGTCTAGGAGCTTGCCTAGTCCAAGAGCGTGCCTGGTCCGGAAGCTTGCCTGGTCCAGGAGCTTGCCTGGTCTAGGAGCTTGCATGGTCCAGGAGCGTGCCTGGTCCAGGAGCTTGCCTGGTCCAGGAGCTATCCTGGTCCAGGAGCTTGCCTGGTCAAGGAGCTTGCCTGGTCCAGGAGCTTGCGTTCTGTTCCAAGAGCTTGCTTGGTCCAGAAGCCTGCCTGGTCCAAGAGCTTGCCTGGTACAGGAGTGTGCCTGGTCCAAGAGCTTGCGTGGTCCAGGAGCTTGCGTGGTCCAGGAGCTTGCCTGGTCAAGGAGCTTGCCTGGTCCAGGAGCTTGCCTCGTCCAAGAGCATTTCTGGTCCAGAAGCTTGCCTGGACCAGGAGCTTGCCTGGTCCAGCAGCTTGCCTGGTCTAGGAGCTTGCCTTGTCTAGGAGCTTGCTTGGTCCAAGCGCGTTCCTGGTCCACGAGTTTGCCTGGTCCAGAAGCTTGCCTGGTCCAGGAGCTTGCCAGTTCCACGAGCGTGCCTGGTCCAGGAGCTTGCCTTGTCCACGAGCTTTCATGGTCCATTAGCTTGCCTGGTCCAGGAGCTTGCCTGGTCCAGGAGCTTGCCTGGTCCAAGAGCTTGCGTGGTCTAGGAGCTTGCGTGGTCCAGGAGCTTGCCTGGTCAAGGAGCTTGCCTGGTCCAGGAGCTTGCCTGGTCCAAGAGCTTGCCTGGTCTAGGAGCTTGCCTGGTCCAGGAGCTTGCCTAGTCCAGCAGCTTGCCTGGTCCAGGAGCCTGCCTGGTCCAAGAGCTTGCCTGGTTCAGGAGCGTGCCTGGTCCAAGAGCTTGCTTGGTCCAGGAGCTTGCGTGGTCCAGGAGCTTGCATGGTCAAGGAGCTTGCTTGGTCTAGGAGCTTGCCTGGTCCAAGAGCTTGCCTGGTCCAGGAGCTTGCCTGGTCCAGGAGCTTGCCTAGTCCAGCAGCTTGCCTGGTCTAGGAGCTTGCCTAGTCTAGGAGCTTGCCTGGTCCAGGAGCGTTCCTGGTCCACGAGTTTGCCTGGTCCACAAGCTTGCCTGGTCCAGGAGCGTTCCTGTGCCAAGAGCTTGCTTGGTCTAGAAGCCTGCCTGGTCCAAGAGCTTGCCTGGTCCAGGAGCGTGTCTGGTCCAAGAGCTTGCGTGGTCCAGGAGCTTGCGTTGTCCAGGAGCTTGCCTGGTCAAGGAGCTTGCCTGGACTAGGAGCTTGCCTGGTCCAAGAGCTTGCCTGGTCCAGGAGCTTGCCTGGTCTAGGAGCTTGCCTAGTCCAGCAGCTTGCCTGGTCTAGGAGCTTGCCTGGTCTAGGAGC